TGCATCCACCAATCAGGATTCCTCGCACGACACCACTCCACCCCGACAAAACTTGAGGCGTCTCCCTTTGACCTTGCCGCAGTTGGTCGATCTTTCGCCTTTTTCCTTTCCCGCCGATAATGAACGGGTGTTCGTCGGCCACAAGTCGTCTTCGCTTGTGGAGCTGGACGTGCTGACAGGAAGAGTAGGCGCCGTTTTCGGCGGCGGACGTGAAAAAGAGAGATCACCTGAAGCTTGGTGCAAAGATGACATCTGCGATGAGGATGGAGACTGGACGTACGTCGGGCGCACAGGTGAGGGCTGCTACAGATTGAGTGTGATGAGATGACCAGTATAGCCAGACGTTAATATCTGCATGCTATTTTGAAAGACTACACCCTTACGATCCACAGTCGAGCCGATCCGTCGGCTCGCCAGACGCTGCGGTATAGCACCTTTGCTCCAAATGCTGCCGATCGCGAAGTCGCTGCAGTGTGGGGTGCTGCGAGCCCCGAGGCGCGCGCTGCCTCTGAGCCTTCTTCCGCCGATCGCCCGCCGCCACCACCAACTGCAATTTTTGGCGTTCCAGAAGACGGCTCCGTCATCTGTGTCAACGCGACAACCTCACCCGATAGTGGTTCTGATGAAAGCTCTGAGGAGCTGGACCGCACCCTCTGGAGCACAGCTGTTGGTGGCTCTGTCGCGCGAGTCTTTGATCTCGTGTATCCCGAAAAGGGACCAAGCGGGAGTCGCGATCGGTCCCCGCCTGTCCTCGTTCCACACCCCGTGATTCCCCTTTCTCGACTTGTGCGTAGATCATCAGTCACAGCGAGTGGTGCTGCTCCATTTCATTCACTCGACGCTGGTGCTACATATCTAGGTGTTGCTGGAGGGAGCTTATATGCGCTGGGAAGCGAGGCGCATCCCTTAGCTGGCCTTGCCCGACCCGCACCAGCCACTTTGCCGTCGCATTCCGAACAGTCAAAGCCGTGCTCCGACGTTGGGTGCTGGTTCGGGGTTTGGGACGCGCGGGACGCAGATGCTTCGGGGCTTGGACCAGTCATCACAGATCAAGCAGAGCGATCTCCTTTGCAGATTTCTGATCATGCAGAACATCAAGAAGGTTCCGACAACTCGTCTTCACAATCTGGTGGCCAGACTACCGCAAAGCGGACAGAGAAGCCCAAGAGAGGTTCAAAGCCTGCTAGTACGGGCGGGCAGCGCAGCACTTTTCCTACAGACTCCGTATGGAGCTGGCGGCCGACACCTCTGGTCGCCTTGGTGCAGATTATTTGCTTGTTCCTTGGCGCCATTCTGTGTGCCCTGATCTACATCGGCTTGCAAGAGCAGAGAAGATTAGCTCGTGAGAGCGCCTCGAGCATTGCAAAGGATGTCCTTTGGGTCCCAGCTGTCCTGGATGAGAAGCAAGAAAATGCGGAGAACGGAGCTTCACCAGGTGATGAGCACAAGAGTGCGCAAGGCGTCGATGCCAGGCATCCGAGTGGCAGGGCCAATGTTGCCGATCTTCTAATACCCGAAGACAATATACAAGCTCGGAAGGATCGGAATGCTGCGCCCGGAGAAATTCCTGCTGAGCTTGCATTGGAGGAAGAAGCTGCTGAGGCAGCTCAATCGGACAAGAAGCGAGCAGGCAAGAAGCGGAGGAGAGGC